TTTTTACTCTTGTTTATTAAAAAGGTTTTACATGATGGAGGCGCTCTGTGTTATATATTTCAATTAAGAACTGTAACTCAATCCATGATTGAGTTACTCGCTTGGTGACAAGGCTTCAGCCCATGGGGCGCAGCTTCAGGCAGCAGGGGGCAGGGCTGGGGAATCCCCCCCCACCCCCGCCCCCAAGCAAGAGGTACCGCACGTCACTGATGTGAAGTGACTGCAGTCGGTCCTTTGACTCCAAGAGAAAGGCAGACACAGAATATAGCAGTCACCGTGTACCAGTGGTTTCAAACTGCAGCCATCAGGTGCCTGTGATATAAATTCTTCCACAGAAAATGTTAAAGTGGTTGCCACGCGCATGGACAGAAGACTTTTAGATACGTCTTCAAGACAAAGAACAGCCTCTTAAAGAGGCATCAGGAGTTTTTAAATCAAAAAGCTACAAACTCCATAATAGGCATTATACCTATTATGGAGAGAATATGATGGAAAAAATGACACAGCCACTAGAAGAAAAAAGGGACAAAAACCTCTCTCCATATACATTGTATAATATACGACTCCACGGCCCTATTCCCTGTGCCAATGCAGAAATCCCCAGACAATACTGGCCTGACTGAATAACTGAAGTAATGGCCATGGAAACTCCGGATCATCACCCAAGTACAATAAAGAGGGAAAATGCCCAACCCTATAAACATTATGTAATTCCCTTCTTACTCAAGACTCCATGCCCCTATTCAGGAATCCCCAGGTAATGATGAACAGGAACATAAGACCACACAAGTACTGGGACCAGAAAAGACCAGCTTTACGACAACTAGAGAAACTTCCAGGATGAATCTTTAAGTTTATTCCACTAGCTAGTGAAACTCCCAGCACCTTATTTTATCCGGTATGAATCAACTAGCAGCTCTTGGTAGAAGGAGGAGGGGGATCTTGAAGAGAGAGAGATAGACCAATGATACTTATTAGCAGTGCTGTTCAACATTTACCCTAACAGAGAGAGGGGGGGAGACAGAGACATCTGTCTACTGGAAAACTTACCTTCCCCTCCAGGCGGCAGCTGTGCTCTGCTGCAGCCTAGATCTTCAGCGCGTCTGCCCAGGACCTGTCAAATTCTACTCTACATATTAATCTACCATTTAAAAAAAACATGCTAGTTTGGAGCCCACTTACACCAGCACTGGCCCTGATGGCGGCCCTGCACGTGCTATTGATACATTTCCTCCAGGGCAGAAGATTGTGTTTTCACTTATGGATGTAGGAGACTGAGTACGCAGAGGAACTCCTATGTGGTGGGAGGCGGCGTTTTGCTGAGAAATACGGCAGGGCGGTTGTGCTATACCTCTGCCTTCGAGTATATTTGAATACACGTCCCATGTGCAAGTTTGAAGGACTAATCTGTATGAACATTTGGATGCCTCATTGAGATATTTACCAACTAAATGGAAATCCATTCATACAAATCCCCAGACGAAAGGATGCTCAAACCACATATGGAATGGATAATATTGCTGGATTCATGGGTGTGTGTAGTGTAGACAATGTGATACACCATTTCCTGTGCTAAAAGGTTCATGAATAGTGATATCCATTCGGATACAGTTACGTAATATTCACAGTTGGGGTCATAACCAATATAGGACACCCAATATAACATCGCTGTGGTCAGGATCTTTAGTATTTAAAATGTTTGTTTTTTTTCTATATTTATATGGTTGATGAATGAAGATAATACAATGTCTTTTTATAGATTTATATGGTTGATGAAGATAATAAAATGTAATAACTATTATGGATATTGATTGTCCTATAGTGGGATCTCTATGGGGAAAATTTGTCAAAACTGAAGACAAAATCTGGAGCAGATTTGCACTGCAACTAATCGGCTTCTATCTCTCATTTTCAGTGTAGCTGTCCCCTTCCCCAGTATACATCATGCAGATAGACCACAATAAAGTTAAATATAGGGCAATGCATAGTCATACACGCGTTGAGATTTAAATTTTAAATTTTATTAATGTCACAGAATTTTTTTTGTCCAGTCCATGCCTGAGACACCTTTAATGGACAGTTCAACTACCCATCACACAGCATGATAAAAACCCCAGAGAGTCACATGTTCTGTAATGTCATCTCTAAAAATGGGAGCAGAACTGGTTAAAACAAAAAAACCAAGTCTAAGTTTGCCATATGAAAATGAAACTGTTGCAGTCTACCACACATTCCACATAAATAATTTCATCCTTTGCTTTTCTTATAAATTAGATATCTGCAATAAAGACCTTTTGTTTGTTGGCAAAGATAGACTGTTCACAGTTCAGTGTAGGCTGTGATGTACCCTCCTTGTACTCTCTAAAACACAATTCAAAAAAAAAAAGAATAATCTAAAACATTCAGAAGAAAATATCTAGGAGTCTCGGCAGATAATTAAAATGCCAGTTATCAATGGCAAGCCTTAGTTTTGGATACGTTAAGTGGGGAAAGCGCATTGTCTCAGGAAAAAAAAAAAAGGGGGTTTAATGACGCAACATTAATACTTGCCATTTTGATCAAGGTAACAGAAAGAAAAACACTGACCCAAGTAGACCGAGCTGCAGAGTTTGCACACAGAATTACTTTAAAGAAATGCAAGCTAGCTAAAAGCCATTCCATTCTGTGACACGGGAGTAATATGCCGGATCAGGATTCAATCGCCATCCACAGAACAGATATTTCACAATTCTTTTCATGGGGGCAATAAACTTCAGAGAGCACAAAGCAGTGTGCTCAGAACACACGTGAAGTGGTAATACCGTGACATTCACTGTAGCTGTCACCAATGTCCTATAAGGCAGCCGCTTCAAAAAGAAAAAGCTTTCTATCCAATTGTCAGTCATTTGTAACAGTTGAACACAAAAGTTCCCAAGTGTTAGATCCATGCAAAACAAACAAGCCAGTGGTCTCCTTTTTGCACATATTGAAGTCTCAGCAGGACTGTTACGAGACCCTGTCCTCATACATTAGCAAATATTAGAATTCAGACATTAAACGGAACTGTGCGGGCTCCTGCTGCCTACATAGCAGAAGGGAGGGGCCAGGGGCTGACTGACAGGAATTGGATTTTCTATGAAGCGTTCATATGCCAACTAGAGAAACAGGTCACAACATGGAAAGTTGATAAACATACCAGTGCTCATTATCCTCTACGCTTTAATAAGTGAAGTCTGGTGACGTGGCCTCATTACCCGACAGCACATTAAACTTATCTTTACAATATCCCTTCAGTGCCGCCCAGAGCATTCTCTTGCAGTCGCTTCACTTAGCAATGCAGAAAATGAACGCCCACAACGTAATCCCACTGGGTCATCACAGGTAATTGGGTCCATCAGAAAGTCACAGTTTACATATTACCTTCATGCTGTGAAGCAACAAATGGAAGAGTAAAACTGCATTTGTCATCAGCAAACTGGTCCCGATACCTGTAATATTTTCCTTCCCCCATAAGATTTGCTGTAAATATTCAGAAAACAGAACATTTCAACTTGTGTGAATGTCAAGCTAAAGATCAGTTTATTTAGCAAACAATTCAACCCGGTGCTAAGCTGTTACAGGTGGAGCATTTTCAGCCGGGCCCTGCGGTGGAACACTTGCCCTGTCCCGTGCGTTTCTGAAGTAGTGACTTGTATATTAGAGGCGCAATGGAGTGTTTATGATGAGTATTCCACCAGAGAGGGGAATGCTTTGCTCTATCATTTAGCTTTACATTGGGATAAAAATGATGGACTAAGTTGTTCTAATAGAAAATTCCCAAACACTTCAGCACCGATGGAAGCCTACTCTCAGGAAGTCAGAAAATATAGTGTCTGCATATATTTGTGTGCACGTTCACTTTGATAGGTCACCTATAAGAAAAGGAACACGGTCCTGCTCCAGTCACTAGAAGCGCAGCAGGATCCAGCCAAGTGACAGACCTAAGCTCCACTGACAACTTGTCATTACAAGTCTGTTAAACAAACCCAAAGCTAAAACCAAGGGGAAGATGACCTGAAACAGTTGCTGCTGACCAACTCACAAAGCCATACATAACAAAGAGAAGTATTCGCTTCTGCCAAACCTGGAACGTTCACCTGTGAATGTCACTTTCACCTTATATAAAACCATTTCACCACCAGATGCATGTTTGTCCAACGTGTATGATGAACTAAATACCTAGCAAATCCCCATTTACCCATACACCAATGTGGATACCATCAGCAGCCCGTGTCATTTCTGACCCTTTACATGCGACAGCGCTTTTGGGGAGGATTGGGGGGAGGGGGGTGTAGACTGCCTATTCTGTGTTCAACAAAAGGAAGAGCGACAACATATTGCAAAATGAAAGAGTTACAGTTTAAAGTGCTCCTCTGTTATGCCACAAGCCTCACTGCAGGATACATTTTAGAAAACTGCTC